TATTAAGTCATGTGACCGTTATGATTCACATTTATAATTTAAATTATTTTAGTATTATAGTATATTAATTTTGGACTTATTAACTGATTTTATCATGATCATGTATTAAATTCATTTATCAAGAAATATACTTTAGCAGAAAATTTATATATATTATTATAGTTTTCATAATCGGTTTAGTGGATCAAATAGGAGAATGTTAATTCCAGTAATTAAGTAGATGGTCCATTAACCTAATATTTTATTTTTCTTATCTACTTATAATGGTTGGAGCCAACTAAAAGTACGCTTAAATAATAGATAATCGTAATAAAAAAAATGTGTCTTTGTGGAGTCAGTAACTTTAAAAATAAAATATAATTATTATATATTTTGAGAATATAATTACATAATTATCATATTTTTATAAGAATTAAAATATAATAATTATTACAGAAAAATATTTATCTACACATTCAATTATTGTGAATGTATTTTGTTCTCTTCTTTTATCTATAAAAGGAGTACATATTCCCCTTTCATAGTACGCTTCCATCAACTAAAGTTCTAAAATATATGTACATAATAGTTTGATAAAGTGAAAAAGTGAGTTAGAGAATTAAAAATTTTATTGAAAAGGTTGCTCAATCACACTATGGTTGTGTCATTTTTGAATGATATGTAACTCTAATTTTTTATTTTTTCTTAAGATAGGTTGAATTCAATAGAATTAGACAAATTAACTTCTGTATTAAATTTTCTTACAATACATCTATTAGATCGGCATCGAAGGAGAAAGCAGAGTCATGAGCGAGGTGTGATTGTGCATGACACGATGAAGAAGAGGAAAGGAGGTGGCTGGCTAGTGACTACAGTGCAAAAAGGAAGGAAGAAGATTGGGAAATTTATTAGCTTTTGGAAAGTTTTAACATTTATATATAATATATGCTTTTTAAAAATAATTTTTTATTAATCTAGTCCATACTAGGCTAGGTCGAAAGTACACTAGTATGGGCTAGAAAGTTCTGTCTCATAGATTGAAAATTGAAGATCGGACTATAGTTAAATTAGTTCAACCTAGTCCGAATGAACAGCTGGTTTCGATTTTTTTCAATCCAGGTTGGATGTTGTACACTCCTAACATCTTATAATTGTAACACTTCTAAGCATATTTTTGCTATTTATTATACTATGTCATATCACATATCTACAACACTTCTTAGTATATATTTTTTATATGTAACGTGTTATGTCACATTAAATTATAGTTTACATTTTTTGAGAACTTCCAAATCTTGGTAATTTCATAACTCATTTAAAATAATTTCACACAAGAAATCATGAAGGAATAATTTTCAAAAAAATATATATTTTAAAATAAGCTCTTTTAATTGTTTTTCATCATGAATAAAAAAACTAGACAAAAAAATTGAGCAAATCAAATTAAGTTAACGTTAAAATATAAAATTATCATACTTCACTCTTCCAAGTATCTTTTACTTTTATTAGTTTCCTTGAGGTTTTCAAGTTCCATTCATTTTTTTTCTTTGCATTGCCTACACTTGGTTTATCAAATACCCGAATAACAACTATTAATATAAAAATTAAAAATTTTAATTTTTAAAATCAATAAATATAGTTCAACAACATATATAATAATTATCTATTTATATTTTTGAAAGTTTTATATTTATTTAATGTTAAAATTTATTTATCTATTCAATGTGGGTTATACATACAATAATTATTTATCTAAAATTTTTAAATATAAAAATTAATTTAGTTAATTATAAATTACACATTAGATAATTTTTAAATACTTATATGATTAATGTGATAATGTATGTATAATAGTTAACTATAAATGTTTTAAAAGTTATTTATTTATTTCACGTAATAAAATATATAATAATTATTTATTTAAAAATTTTAAATATGAAAAAAATTAATTTTTAATTGATTATAACTTTATACAATAAATAATTTTAAATATAAAAATAAACTCAATTGATATTAATTTATGATTAATTTTTAATTGGTTTGACTTTAAAATTATATGTTGTACAAACTTAATCACAATTACTTTCCCTCAACATCTTATTAATCTTGTAGGTTTTTAACAAAAAAGTAAGATATGATAATTGTTTTAATATTTTATTGTAATTTTTTGCTATATAATATTTTCAAATAATTATAAAAAAATCTTCCAAATTGGTACATGCTATAAATATTTTGTTTTTCTAATTTTACGAAATTAAGAAGCTCATCTCTTTCTGTTGATAAGAGTCTTGTCACATCTCGATTGATATCTCTGTTTTCCCCACCAGACAATCATTCTCCAAATAAAATTCTTATAATTTTTTAGAAATTTGAACAAGTAAAGGTTATTATTATTATTATATAGTTATTATTATTATATTAATCCTAAACCAGAGGTTGTTCTAAAACGTGTCCTGAAACGAAGCCCCGTGCCTTCCATGTTTGCTTACTCAAGATTGAGCTGGCTTTTAACAGTCGCCGTTAAATGTCATAATATATATAAATATATAAATTCACATGTATAATTATTGTGTTATTGATTTTATTACGTCCTCATCATCATCATCATCATCAACCCTTGTCTTTGAAAAAAAATATATATATCTCTCTCTCTCTGAAAAACTCTCTAAGGTCTGGCTCTTGATGTTTCTCGCTACCGTCCTCTGATCAAGAGGTTTAAAGCTGAAATAATTGTATACACCCGAAAATGAGTTTCAGGGAAGATACTGAAGATGGGAGGGATCTACGGAAGCCATTTCTTCATACGGGAAGTTGGTACCGTATGGGGTCGAGGCAATCCAGTATGATGGGTTCGTCCCAGGTCATTCGCGATAGTTCAATTTCTGTTGTGGCCTGTGTCTTGATTGTGGCTTTGGGTCCTATTCAATTTGGCTTCACTGTGAGCAAACTCTTACCTTTTTTGTTTTTTCCCCTCTTTCTCTCTTCGTTTTGCTAGCTTAGAAACTTATCGTTTCAGCAAATCTGGATACTGGTCTCTCTCAGATGTTTTAGTCCACTGAAACAGTTGGGAATCATATGTTTGGATTAATTCTGTAAATTTTTGAGCTTTTCTTTTTCTTTTTTAATTTTCCGCAGTGTGGTTATTCTTCTCCCACACAAGATTCAATCACTAAGGATCTTGGACTTACAGTCTCCGAGGTAGAAACAATAGCTCATATCTGCTTTTTTGTTCCATGGTTGGTGTTTTGTCTGGATTATGATTTTGACTTAGATTCTTGGGTTAGTTCTCTCTGTTTGGTTCTCTATCAAATGTGGGTGCTATGGTTGGGGCCATTGCCAGTGGTCAGATTTCCGAATATATTGGGCGAAAAGGGGTAACTTAATTGGTTATATATGTCTATTTCTTTCAAAAGAACTGCATAGTTTATTATTTTGATTTGAGTTACTTGTTTGACTTTCTGGTGTTAACTGCAGTCTTTAATGATTGCCTCTATTCCTAACATTATTGGATGGCTTGCCATATCTTTTGCAAAAGTGAGTTTTGATTGCTGATACATTTTCCATTACAAGTTTGGCCTTATATTTGAGCCAGCATCAACATGCCAAAAAATATCTAACTTTCACCATGTTTTGTAGGATTCTTCTTTTCTTTATATGGGAAGGCTGTTGGCAGGATTTGGTGTGGGGATAATCTCTTATACGGTAATGCTAAATTCTAACTAATTTGTTTATTTGTTGGAACGTGTAACATTGAGAATTCTACTTCTGTCTATCATCTATAGGTTCCTGTATACATAGCGGAGATAGCACCTCAAAACTTGAGAGGGGCCTTGGGTGCAGTGAATCAGGTACACCTCTGTTACACTATTATTACATTTTGACATAGGGTTCAATCATAGATATGAATTACTTTCAAAACTAACAAGGTGCACAATTGGCCATGCAGCTTTCTGTTACAATTGGGATAATGCTGGCTTATTTGTTTGGACTTTTTGTTCAGTGGAGAATCCTTGCAGTTCTCGGTAATCCTCTAAAGTTGTACTCTGCCACCCATAATTTCTGTAAGACTCATTGTTTTTGGCCTAAAAGGCAACTCTTCATGTTCTAAATCCTTTCTATATCTAATTATCAATTTCAACAACAAGAAGAAAATAGGAAAATAAGGGAAAGGAACAAGTGATGCATGTGATATAATTAAACAACTGGGTGGAATCTTTTGCAAATTTATTGCTGCTTATAACTTTGCCACATTGTCTTTTGCAGGAATATTGCCTTGTGCAATATTGATTCCTGGACTTTTTTTCATTCCTGAATCTCCTAGGTGGCTGGTAAGCTTAACAAAGTAGGTTTCTCTTCATGGCAGGCTATTTAATTGCTATAATATGTTGATGCAAGTTTACTTTCTTACATTTAGGCAAAAATGGGTATGACAGAAGACTTTGAAACTTCTTTGCAAGTTCTTCGAGGGTTTGATACTGACATTTCTGTTGAGGTGAACGAAATCAAGGTATTAAATACTGATCTAAGCTGCATTTTCTTGAAGTACGTCAAGGAAATTGTTCTTTTTGCTTCTATATTTGTATCTCTTGTTACAAGTCATCATCGATATTTTAACACAAGGATTTTCATCAAGTTAAAAACATTTTCTTTGTGCTATGTACTGTGCAGAGGGCTGTGGCATCATCTAGCAGAAGAACTACCATTCGGTTTGCAGATCTCAAAAGAAGGAGATACTGGTTCCCTTTGATGGTACTAACTATTTATCAGAAGTATTTTGTTTTCATCACTTGTTGGTATTTCAGCCTTCGACTTGACTTTCATTAATATCAGAAGTGATTGCTCTGTAATCTGTAGGTTGGAATCGGATTACTTGTCCTGCAACAACTTAGTGGAATTAATGGGGTTCTATTCTACTCAAGTAATATTTTTAAAGCTGCTGGTAAGCATAAAAAGGTTTGCTGCCTTATCTGAAGAATTCCACCATAATAACCATTTGAAGTTTTATCGCTTTTATTATTTTACCTTTTCCAATTGGAAGCCTCACTTGCTGAGGAGGAGGGAATGCAAATAAGTAAAACTTCTTTATGTATGCTCAGCTTAAGAAAAGCATCAGATCCATGAAGGTTGGAAATTTGTTTAAAAACTTTGAAGTTCTGCACGCAACATAAAGGAATTGCTATTTTCATTGGACTATTGTGTTGTTTCATTGAATGCAAATAAGTAAAACTTCTTTATGTATGCTCAGCTTAAGAAAAGCATCAGATCCATGAAGGTTGGAAATTTGTTTTAAAACTTTGAAGTTCTGCACACAACATAAAGGAATTGCTATTTTCATTGGACTATTGTGTTGTTTTATTGAATGCAAATAAGTAAAACTTCTTTATGTATCCTCAGCTTAAGAAAAGTATCAGATCCATGAAGGTTGGAAATTTGTTTAAAAACTTTGAAGCTCTGCACACAACATAAAGGAATTGCTATTTTCATTGGACTATTGTGTTGTTTTATTGAATGCAAATAAGTAAAACTTCTTTATGTATGCTCAGCTTAAGAAAAGCATCAGATCCATGAAGGTTGGAAATTTGTTTAAAAACTTTGAAGTTCTGCACACAACATAAAGGAATTGTTATTTTCATTGGACTATTGTGTTGTTTTATTGAATGCAAATAAGTAAAACTTCTTTATGTATGCTCAGCTTAAGAAAAGCATCAGATCCATGAAGGTCGGAAATTTGTTTAAAAACTTTGAAGTTCTGCACACAACATAAAGGAATTGCTATTTTCATTGGACTATTGTGTTGTTTTATTGCATATTTCGATCATTTTATGTTCATATTTTTTCTTGTCTGACAAACTCGAGCTACATTCAGAAATTGTTCTAGATTTTCTCCTCGAGAAAAAAATGGGAAAGTAAACAAGGCTAATAGTTGTTTGTTCAATCTAAAATTTAGCATCAGCTTATTGCTCTTGTTGAAAGGCTCTGAATAGTGGGTTAGTCATTGAAGAATAGGGTTTGAAGGCATAATAAGTTCTCTTCTGTTTGAACAGGGGTTACATCAAGTAATGCAGCAACATTTGGGCTTGGTGCTGTGCAGGTAGAACATGAAGCAAGCTTGAAAGTGTTCTTTTTCTTCTGAATTATGTAGCATGAAAAATGTACTTTACTGATTGTAATCTTTATTTTAATATGTATGCTCTTAGGTCATAGCTACTGGAGTAGCCACATGGTTAATGGACAGAACAGGTCGACGGCTTCTTCTTATTGTAAGTTTAGCTTTCTGTCACCACAACACACGTACGTTGGTCTCGATAAAGAATTAATATTCTCTTTTTGCAGGTCTCCTCTTGTGGAATGACTATTAGTCTCCTAATTGTTGCAGTTGCATTCTTCTTGAAGGTATATATTACTTCGCATTTCATGTGAAGGAAAAAAGAAAACTTGTCGCCCATGGTAGAAATTTTTTATCATTTTGTTTTATCTTTGTTCTGTTTTCATTCTCCTATATTCATCTTAATTCTTTCAATGTTCATTGCCACAGGGTTTTGTGTCTGATGACTCAAGCATATATGGTCTATTGAGCATCATGTCTGTGGTTGGAGTTGTTGTATGTTTGCATTATAAATTGTTTTCTGATTGGTGTTTTGTTTTGTCACTGTACTTGCCTTGGATGCCTAACTTACTTGTTTCTTTCAGGTCATGGTAGTTGCCTTCTCACTGGGTATGGGCCCTGTTCCATGGATTATAATGTCTGAGGTACTGTATTTTTACTGTCCCTCACTATTGAGCTTTTGCCATAAACTGGAAACGTGCTTCTGGAAGTTCTCTCACATGCAATCAATACCATTCACATGTAGCTCGACATTGGGTTTTCATGAGTCGAATTCTTTGTTTCCTGATATTTTGAGTCCAGAATTCTTTGCCTTATTGAAGCTTTTATCTGCTTTCCAAGCCTGATTACTCTATTGTTACAGTCCAAAGTAGGACTAGTTCATTTTGCTGAGGTTCAGATATTCTTTTACATTTAACCACTTATTCTTGGTGAGAACCTGCTGGTCGGTTTAAACCATGATATAGATTTAAAGTGACTGTTTAAGGAGGTGAACAAAGTGGTTTGGTTGGTGGATGAATAATATTTAATAATTCTAAACGTAGTGTCAAGAAGTGGCAGAGGGAGGTATAAACTAATATTTGCTGATCCTCCAAGTCTCTTAATGGAAAAATATGCAATATATGAAGCAAAATAAAAGTAATGCAAAATTATAATGAATTGGTCAAGAAATTTTATTGCTAAGTTTTGTTGTTAATTTTCTTTTATGCCAGAAAATATACAATTAAGATTTACCCGGGCCTTGCTCCTGCACCCTATTTATGTTTTACACTAAACTACATCTTGCCCTGCTCACATGATTTCCTGGCTCAGTTTCTGGTTGTTGGATCATTGGTCAACTACATTTTTGAATCATGCATTTACTTGTGTATCTTATCGAGAAACAAGTTTCACTTATCAATTTTATTGAAGTTTTACTTTGTGTTTTTGAATCATGCATTGGCTCTATTGCTTGTATATGACTTTTGTTAAGGCTATCTTCAGGAAAAATCTAAAATTTGATAAAACAAATCTAAAGATTAGCCTGTGGACCCTCGCTCTTGCACCTCATTTATGTTTTATGATAAACTAAATCTTATCCCTCTCACAAGATTTCCCAGCTCCATCACTGGGTGTCGGATCATTGATGAATTATATTTTTAAATCATGCATATGCTCGTATATCTTATTGATAAACAAGTTTCATTTATCATTTTCAATGACAGTTAACTTAGCATTTCTGAATCATGCATTGGCTCCATTTACCTCCGTCTGAACTTACATTAAGGCTATGTTTGGAAAAACCTTAAGAATTTCCTAGAATTTATTTGTAAATCCACATGGAATAACATAAGTTCTATTAGAAAATGATAAAAATTACCTTATATAGAATTTCATGTGAAACTGGAACAATGTTTCTAACTTTCGTCAACTTATTAGAATTTAAATGTATTGTTTTAATTCCGCATAAATCCTATATTTGGAAATGAATTTATTCAAAACAAGCCTAAAGTATAATCATTATATGGAAAGTGGTTGATCTTATGCTCTGGTTTATGCTGTCAATCCAGATTCTTCCCATCAATATCAAGGGTCTTGCTGGAAGTATAGCTACACTTGCGAACTGGGTTTATCGCGTGGCTGGTGACAATGACTGCAAACTTCCTCTTGAATTGGAGCAGTGGAGGTTCTCTCTCTCTCTCTCTCTCTCTCTTCCCCCTTCTTTCTGGTATATATGGGCAAGCACACACGGACACGCAGCAGATACCCATATAACTTCGAGCAGCGAAACTGAATCTAATGAATGATCAGCAACTGAAGTAGTATCCTCCATAACTTTTGCATATGGATTATGTATACTTGTAGTTCTCTTTTTTGTTGAATCTTGGAAAAAGTCATTTGGTTACTATTCTGTACCTCTTATTGTTTCTTGCTTTCTCCGTCTTCACCAGGAACTTTTACCCTCTACATGTTAGTCAGTGTTTTCACCGTGGCATTTGTGAGCATCTGGGTCCCTGAGACAAAAGGGAGAACTCTAGAAGAAATTCAGGGTTCCTTCAGATGAGTTTCTTTTTACTCTTTTTATTTTTGTACTTTTCCCCTTGTATTTTTTTTTTAAAAAAATTTAATTTTTTATAGTGTTTTTTTTTCTAGACAATATTCCTAAAATATGAGATTCCATTTGTAATGATGAAGAGATAATGCATGGAAAATGTAATCTTTTATTTTTTTGGGAATCTCCCCTGATTTATATTGCCATATTGGCCTGGGGTATATTTGTATTTTATGTAATAATTTTCTTCTCAGTTTTTAGTCAGACGATAATTATGTGCCGAATTTACACTAATCTCTTATTTTCTCAATTTTTAAGATAATTTATTTATTTGCTTTTTGTGCTAAAAAGTATTTTTACTAATTCCCACATCTGTGATACAAGATACTTATGTAAGAAAATTTGATACTAAATTTATTTTTTATTGAATTCAACACATTAAAAAAAATATATTAGAAAATTAAAATTATAAATTATTAAAAAATAATGCAGTTATAACGTGATTGAGAGATTTTTTGATAAAAATTTTAATTTTTTAATTTATTTATTTTTTTAACTATTATATATAAAAATAAAGAATTTTAATTGATAGAAGATACATTAAAAAAGATATTTGTGCTTTTTTTATAGATAAGATGAGAAGCTAAAACACATTTAAAATAATTGAATGTGTTAATAAATATTTTTATTATTATAGTTTAATATCTATAAAATACAATAAGTGTATAATTTATTTTAAAATTACCAACTTTATCAAGATATATTTTTATTTATAATAGTTATCTATTATTTCAAGTGTCTTTTAAGTTAGATTCAACCGTTATAAGTGGATAGAGAAAATAAAACACTGGGTTAGTGAGTCATTCACTTAATTGTTAAAATTAACATTATCTCACTTAATTCACAAAATCGATTATGAAAACTATAATATATATATATATTTTATACTAAAATATATTTATTAGTAAAATGAATTTGATACGTGATTATAATAAAATTAGCCAAAAAGCCTAAAATTACTATACTATAATACTCAAATAATTTAGATCATAAATGTGAATCATAGCAGTCACATGACTTCAACATCATATTTCTTTCTATGCACCATATATCAATAACTTTTACTAATTTAGTTCATAATGCCAAAACAGCTTCTATAATTTGTTTTGTCAAGACATTTCATATTGATTAAATACTAAATTGTGCACCCATAATTAAAAACGAAAAATAACATAAACAAATTTTAATACTCAAATTGTTAATTATTCAACCACTGAAACATGCACCATCATATTATGAATTACTCAAAAGACCTAGACATGCAGAACATGTCTTTAAAGGTAGTCATTTTATCAATAGATCAGCAATAATAAATGTGGTACTAATATTTTCAATCAACACTTGTTGTTTCTCGACTCTTTTTCTAACAACTACATATTTTAAGTCAATATATTTGGATCCACCAGAATATTTACCATTCTTAAAGAAGAAAATAATTGCAGTATTATTACAAAATATTCTCAGTGGCTTGGCAATAAAGTCAACAACACCAAATCCTGAAATGAAATTTTGTAACCACAAAACATGACTTGAGGCTTCAAAACATGCTAGAAACTTAACCTCCATTATAGATGAGGTAGTAACGGACTGCTTTACACTTTTCCACAAAATTGCTCCATTTACTAGCATAAAGACAAAACTTGAAGTAGACTTTAAGCTATGACAGCAATTACCATAATATGAATATGAGAATCCAATCACCTTTAATTGTTCTTTTTTTTTTATATGTGAGCATATAATCTTTTATCCCTTGAAGATATATCATAACCTTCTTTTAGTTTTTCAGTGTTCATTTCCTGGATCACTTTGATATCTTCCCAACATACCAACAGCATAACTGATATCTGGTCTAGTACAGAAACGAACATACATCAAACTTCCCACAGCAGATGCATAAAAAATGTTCTTCATCAGTTCCCTTTCTGGGCACTAACTTTTACTTAATTTGTCACCCTTAAGAACGGGTGCAACATTGACTGAACATAACTACAAATTGAATCTCTCTAAAACTTGGTTAAAATATTCTTTCTGAGATAAACCTAACAATCATCGAGAACGATAACTAAAGATTTCTATTATAATAACATAAGTTTCCTCACTCACATTAACCATCTAGAAGTTTTTAAGGAGATATTTCTTGGTTTCATATAACAAACCAAGATCACCACAAGCTAGTAAAATATCATCCACATATAGTATCAGAAATTTAAACTTGCCTCCACTAATTTTTATACATATGAACTGATCAACAATGTTTTCCTTAAATCTGAAAGATGTAATGCTATCATTAAACTTTATATACCATTATTTGGAAGCTTGTTTAAGACCATAAATGGATTTCTTTAATTTGCAAACTAAGTGTTCTTTTCCTTTCTTTGCGAACCCTTCAGGTTGATACATATAAATATCTTCATCCAAATTCTCATTCAAGATAGCAGTTTTCACATCCATTTGATATACTCTAAACTAAATGTGCTACAAGAGCCATAATAATTTTAAGGGAGTCCTTTTTAGAAATTGGAGAGAAGGTATCTCCATAATGTATACCTTCCTTTTGAGTAAAATCTTTGGCTACTAGTTTGGCTTTAAATTGTTCAATATTGCCTTTAACATCGCATTTGGTTTTGAAGATCCATTTACAACCGATACTTTTATAATTATTAGGCAATTCGATAAGATCCCAGACATCATTATGGTCCATAAACTTCAACTCTTCCTTCATAGCTTCTATCCATTTATTATAATCATTACCTTCCATCGCTTGTAAAAACGTAACCGAATTTGTTCTTATCCCAATATCAAAATTAGATTCTTGTAAATATACCACATAATCATCTGATATAACATACTTCCTTTCCCTTTGAGATCTTCTCAAAGGTATTGATTAAGATTGTTCTATAACATTTTTAATGATGACATCTTCTGGTGGTAATGAACCATTTTCATTATGTACCTCATTTTCTGTAACTTATTGAGAATGATGAGCAACAATTGTTTCTTGAGGCAAAAATGGTGGTGGGATACCCACTCTTATTTTCTCAAAGTCTAATTTTCTTGGTTCTTCACTCCCACTGATTTCACTATTCTCTAAGAATCTAACATTATCAGTTTCAACTATTCTCATATCATGGTTAGAGTAGTAAAATTTATACCATTTGGATTTATTTAGATAACCAATAAAATATCCAAATATTGTCCTTAAATCTAGTTTTTTCTCATGAGGATTGAAGATTCTTACCTCTACTAGACAACCCCATATATGTAAATGTTTTAAACTTAATTTCCTACTAGTCTACAACTTGAAAGGATTTGTAGATATTACCTTACTATGAACTTTGTTCAAGATATACATTACAATCTTTAAGGCTTCACCCCATAAAGAAATAGGTACAAAAGAATAACTAATCATACTCCTAACCATTTTCATTAAAGTACGAATATGCCTTTTAGCAACACTATTCTGCTGTGGTGTACATAGCATTATGTATAAAGCATGAATGTAATGCTTTTCTAAGAATTTGGCAAATGGACCAGAATTTTGTCCTAACTTATCATATCTACCATAGAATTCACCACCTTGACCAGATCTCACAATCTTAACTTTTTTATCTAATTGTCTCTCTGCCTCTGTGATGTATACCTTAAAGATGTCAATGACTTGAGACTTATCATACATTAGATATACATAATCATATCGAGATAGATCATCTATAAAAATGATAAAATATCTCTCTCTAGTAAACTAATGAATGGAGAGTGATTCCCAAATATCCATATGAATTATCTCAAAAAGCTCATTACTTCTTGTGACATCTTTTTTTGTATGTTTAATTTGCTTTCCTTTTATGTAGTCTATGTATACTTGGAAATTAATGAAGTTAAGATTTTTTAAAATTTAATGGTTCACTAATCTCTCAATTCTTTCTCTAGAATTATGCACTAACCTTTTATGCTATAATAATAAAGAATTTTTATTAATTAAACCACGTTTTGAACCAATATTTGAATGCAAGGTAACTTAAGCTTATGAAAATTCATGATTCAGGCAAATTTTATATGCCAACTGTCATTGAATTAAACATTAAACATACTTTTCCACAACCATAATAAACTATCCAACAACATCTAATTTGGATAATGAATTAAATTTTTAGAAATTGAAGGAATATAAAAAGTATTCAAAAGATCCATCTAATGATTAGTCCCTAATAACAAGCGATAGGTACCTACAGCTACCACTTCTACTTTGAGACGGTTTCCCATATAAAGGTACGTTTTACTTTTTTTAGTTTTCGGATTGTAAGGAATCCCTACATTGAACTAATAACATGAATTGTGGCTCCATAATCAATCCACTAAGTATTAAAAGGAAACTCAATAAGATTTGATTCATAACATACGAAAGAAAGATTCATACCTCTCTTTTCGAACCAAGCCTTACACTTATTACATTTATTTTTCACATGATCTTTTTTGCCACAAAAGTAGAAAATCAGAGTAAATTTTTTATCATGACTTTGGTTATTCTCTATAACACCCCGCCCATCGTTGTGTTTAATTAATTTAGAAAACTCCTATTTATTCGGGCCTTTAGGCTGCATTGAACTCATTTAATTTACTTTGCAAATTATTATCGTAATTCGTAAATTATAATGATTTTTATTTATTTTGATTTTATTTAATTTTATATAAATTTTAGTTGATATTATTTTAATATATTTTAATTGATTTTATTTTATTTAGTTTAATTAAAAATGAATTTTGAAAAAAAAATTGAAAAAAAAAACGGGAGAAAATTCTGCGGGAAAGGGAGAGTGCAGGATGTGCGTACAGCGCAGACATCCCATTCAAGTGCATGGCGCAGGGTCTGCCTTGTGCATGTCTTGTCACGCACAGGTGTGATGTCCGCGCATCACCTTGCGGGCAGATAGGCGCCGCACACTGAGTGCACGCTGTCCGCGCAACCCCTGTGTGCTTGGGGCCTGCGCGCGTGGCGCCCAACGTGCCTAGGACCTTTGCGCGTGCAGGCTAGACCCTGTGCGCCTGGGGCGTACGCGCAGTAAGCCTGCATGCGCGACGCCCAACACACTAAGGCCCTACGCATGCGAAGACTAGCCCTTATTCGCGTGGTAGGGTGGGTCATGCACCTGCAGCACGCCAGGCAACCCACTGTCGCCTCAGGCGATGCGCCGCCATCACTGATGGAGACCTTCCTCCTCCG